CCTGACAAACACGGCATTGAACCACAGGCCAGCTGAACTGTGATGGTCAACCCCGCAGTGTCGTCGCGACGCCTCTACCATATAAACTTTATAAGGTTTATTTATTCATCTATAATAGGTATTTCGTGTGTTTACTCTTGTGAGGTGACCACAGTGTTCAGACGTATCTAGTAACTCGTGTTACAACAAACTTTATATTTTTCACATAATAGCACATAGGAAATAAATAATAAGCAGTATATATGTAATGGTGTACATATGAGTCCCGTTTGTACTAGTTGTCCGATGTTTCTTACTCGTATAATATATTTGAAACTAATTTACAATCTCTCATTAACAAATTATGATCAAACAATTCCCTCATAATGCATAAAGAATATTTTTTAATGGTTCAATGTATTATTACCAACGTATCGAGAAAGTCAATATAGAATTTCTCTACCATGAAGTACTGTAAGGTGATGTCTCCGAGATCCTCACAGTTATGTTGTGATGCCAATTACTACATTTGCGTGTACATGTATTTTATTCCACTGTCCTGGGAAGACAGAGATGGAGGCGTGACTTGTAGTATCTCTCTCTCTCTTTCTCTCTCTCTCTCTCTCTCTCTCTCTCTCTCATATTCCTCCTCTCATTCTATCTACCTTGCTTTTTTCCTCTCTCATTTCTTTTTTCCTTTTCTTTTCTCCCTCCCTTTATCCTCCCCATTCATCCTCTCTCTCTATCCTTCTTCTTCCTCTCTTCCCTCTTCTCTCTTCCCTCCTTCTTCCCCCTTCTCATTCCTCTCTCTCTCTCCCTCTTTATCCCTGTTTTCTACCCCACCTCTTCTCTCTCCCTTCCTTCACCCTCTCCTATTTTTGCTCCCCTCCCCTCCCCACCTATTTTACACCCCCTTGGTCCTCGGGGTGTTTTCATGCACACAGTTCCTCAGAATCGTTCACGTTTCAGTGATTTTTATTTTATTACGCTGATTTTTTTTTAGACTCGCTCCCCAACTCCCAATTTCTCTGGCTGTATTCTGACAGATCTGCCTGGCTCTCTCTCTCTCTCTCTCTCTCTCTCTCTCTCTCTCTCTATGTATGTGTTTGTCTTTGTTTATTATTGTTTCCCTGTTTAGCTCTCTTTCGTATTATCTCTCTCTTATTGTTTGTTAGTTTATCTGTATTTATCTTTTTCTATTTATCTGTTTATCTTTATTTATCGTTTTTTCTGTCGTTGCTTATTTGGTCTTTGTCTCTCGTTCTCGTCTTTTCTCTCTTTAAAACACACACACACACACACACACACACACACAGACACGCGCACGCACACGCACACAAGAGGAGCGAAGGTCATAGTACGTCTTGGTGTGTGTAGTAGTAATTACCATTGAACATAGGAGAATAAAACTGTATTATTTCCTTTAATTTTATTCATTCGGAAACAACGGATAACTTGAAGAATCAGTCCACCACCCTGACGCTAACTTGAGGTTCGGTTCGGTTAATGCTGAGGTGAAATAAGGTAGGGTGTCTAATCTTCAGGTGAAATAAGGCGGGGGTGTCTAATCTTCAGGTGAAATAAGGCGGGGTGTCTAATATTCAGGTAAAATAAGGTAGGGTGTCTAATATTCAGGTGATCCAAAACAGTATTATAGTACAGTTATAGAGTTCTTAAAATTATATAAAAAAATCCTTCACAAGAATACATTATTATACAAATTTTATAGGCGCAGATACAAGTACAGGTACAGGGGTTTCAAAATTAGTTTTGTACTCAATACGAATAAAACTCTTATGTAAGTTTTTAATTCAGAAATAGCAGTACTGTACAGAGATTTCATAACAGTAGTACATCAGGAAACGAGTACATTACGAGTACAAGTTTTAGTGGGCTTTACCTGCGTGTGAGAGTGAGTACCTGGGTGTGTGGTGGTAGATTGGTGGTCCAGCATCAGTAACGCACTATATCTACCTCCACACCATCTGCCTCAATATGTGGTGGACCAGCATCAACAGTAAGACAGGAGAGCCAACAGCATACACCCGACGTTAACACACATTCTATCTGCCACCAACGACGCCCCGGGGTGTGATAAAGTTCGCTCAACATTTATACGAGAACACGTCGTTGCTCTGGGGCCTGACCGCTCTAACTCTCCGCTGATGGTTCTGTTGATACATAATGAACGAACTGCACACACACACACACACACACACACACACACACACACACACACACACATACACAAAATATACAGTAATTCCACTTTTTTCAGGCATATTAGTACACTGACTTTGATCATACTGGGTGGTAACAAATGGTCTTCAGGATTTTAAACATATATGCGAAGACTAACATTGAAAGAAAGGATACAAGAGGCTGTTAGGAAAGTTTAGCACGTGATGGCACAAAATTGTATGGAAGGAAACAGACTATTGCTTTGATGTTTGCAGAGCCAAAAATGGACCTCAAATTGAACTTAATTAGCTTTAATAATAATTTTTTGGGGAGTTTTTAATAATATTTCTTGTCGTAAGTTGTAGATTTATTAGTGTTTTATAATATTTAGAATCGCTTATATGATTTATAGCCACCCGGTAAATTACGTGAAGACATTTTTTCTTATAGTACGATGTGTGTGTTTCCAGAGTGTGAATAAAATATCACCTTAAGGCAGCGATTCACTTTCTTCCACGACGCTCCTGGGAATAATAAAATTCACTCACTTGTAAACGAAAGTCTAAGTGCAATTTTTATAACCAGGATGTGTAAGGAACTGTAAATGAACTTTAATATACAGACACGAACAGATCTGATCTTCCTTTATACTTCTGTGTGAATCTATATCAAACCTGAATGAGTTAACACAGAGGCGTTTAAGAGAAGCATTTTGGGGAATCGTTTTAACAGTCCAGAGATTTCAGCGCGTAAAGTGACTTGTGTTCGTGACTATTAGTGTTATCTTGTGTTATCTTCCTGTATTCTTGGTCCCTGTACTTGTGTTCGTGACTATATTAGCGTTATCTTGTGTTATCTTCCTGTATTCTTGGTCCCTGTACTTGTGTTCGTGACTATATTAGTGTTATCTTGTGTTATCTTGCTGTATTCTTGGTCCCTGTACTTGTGTTCGTGACTACATTAGCGTTATCTTGTGTTATCTTCCTGTATTCTTGGTCCCTGTACTTGTGTTCGTGACTATATTAGTGTTATCTTGTGTTATCTTGCTGTATTCTTGGTCCCTGTACTTGTGTTCGTGACTATATTAGCGTTATCTTGTGTTATCTTCCTGTATTCTTGGTCCCTGTACTTGTGTTCGTGACTACATTAGCGTTATCTTGTGTTATCTTCCTGTATTCTTGGTCCCTGTACTTGTGTTCATGACTATATTAGCGTTATCTTGTGTTATCTTCCTGTATTCTTGGTCCCTGTACTTGTGTTCGTGACTATATTAGCGTTATCTTGTGTTATCTTCCTGTATTCTTGGTCCCTGTACTTGTGTTCATGACTACATTAGCGTTATCTTGTGTTATCTTCCTGTATTCTTGGTCCCTGTACTTGTGTTCATGGCTACATTAGCGTTATCTTGTGTTATCTTCCTGTATTCTTGGTCCCTGTACTTGTGTTCGTGACTACATTAGTGTTATCTTGTGTTATCTTCCTGTATTCTTGGTCCCTGTACTTGTGTTCATGACTACATTAGTGTTATCTTGTGTTATCTTCCTGTATTCTTGGTCCCTGTACTTGTGTTCATGACTACATTAGTGTTATCTTGTGTTATCTTCCTGTATTCTTGGTCCCTGTACTTGTGTTCGTGACTACATTAGTGTTATCTTGTGTTATCTTCCTGTATTCTTGGTCCCTGTACTTGTGTTCATGACTACATTAGCGTTATCTTGTGTTATCTTCCTGTATTCTTGGTCCCTGTACTTGTGTGACTACATTAGCGTTATCTTGTGTTAGCGTTATTTTGTAAGGTCTTCTGTATTTTGGTCCCTGTACTTGTGTTCAAGGACTACATTAGCAAGATCTTTGTGTTATCTTCCTGTATTCTTGGTCCCTGTACTTGTGTTCATGACTACATTAGTGTTATCTTGTGTTATCTTGCTGTATTCTTGGTCCCTGTACTTGTGTTCGTGACTACATTAGCGTTATCTTGTGTTATCTTCCTGTATTCTTGGTCCCTGTACTTGTGTTCATGACTATATTAGCGTTATCTTGTGTTATCTTCCTGTATTCTTGGTCCCTGTACTTGTGTTCATGACTATATTAGCGTTATCTTGTGTTATCTTCCTGTATTCTTGGTCCCCGTACTTGTGTTCGTGACTACATTAGCGTTATCTTGTGTTATCTTCCTGTATTCTTGGTCCCTGTACTTGTGTTCATGACTATATTAGTTGTTATCTTGTGTTATCTTCCCTGTATTCTTGGTCCTGTACTTGTGTTCATGACTACATTAGCGTTATCTTGTGTTATCTTCCTGTATTCTGGTCCTGTAATTGTGTTCGTGACTACACATGCTATCTTGTATTATCTTCTGTATTCTTGGTCCCTGTACTTGTGTTCGTGATCACATTGAAGCGTTATCTTGTGTTATCTTCCTGTATTCTTGGTCCCTGTACTTGTGTTCGTGACTATATTAGTGTTATCTTGTGTTATCTTGCTGTATTCTTGGTCCCTGTACTTGTGTTCGTGACTACATTAGCGTTATCTTGTGTTATCTTCCTGTATTCTGCGTACTCGTAGTGCTGTGGTTACTCTTGACATAATAACAAACGTTGATTGTGAGTGACGTTAATATGGTATAATTCTTGTTTATACTCCTTCTACCTGACCTTGTCTCTACCTGTGGCCTTACCTCTGAATTAATGAAGGAAATGAATCGAATTATCTCAAATGAGTAAACAACCCAACAGGCCAGAGGGAACTTAGTCGATCATAATAAACTACAAAGTTAATTTTTTATTATCTTTATTTTTATTTTTACCTCAGCATTGTTTATTACAGACAGACAAACTTACCAACGTTTGATCATATTTTCAAACATTCTTAAACTCATCTTTTTTCTCCTAACACAGTGAAACACATAACGGTCGAGTCTCTGGTGTAATTTCGACGCCATCTTGGTCTCCTAATTAGCGTTGTATCATAAGTGAGGTGATTACCTTACTCTCACATCCCCAGCTATGAGGGGGGGGAAAAAATTAGAAGACTCTGGACTAAGGGTTTGTAGCTCCTTGATCCACCCAAACACTTTTATGACGATGTGTAAAAAGGTAATTGTGTGTCTGGTCGTCTAATTACCTTTTGTTCATGGGATTTCTGAACCAATTAATTTAGGTTTTATGGCTGACCTGTTGAAAGGAAGTTATATATCTTACGTGTGTGTGTGTGTGTGTGTGTGTGTGTGTGTGTGTGTGTGTGTGTGTGTGTGTGTGTTCTTCTCCTCTCTTTCATATCCTCCTTCTATTCCATCTCCTCCTCCTCCTGCTATCCCACCTCCTCCTCTCCCTATCCCACCTCCTCCTCTCCCTATCCCACCTCCTCCTCTCCTATCCCACCTCCTCCTCCTCCTCCTATCCCACCTCCTCCTCTCCTATCCCACCTCCTCCTCTCCCTATCCCCCTCTCCTCCTCCTCCTCCCCCTCTCCTCTCCTCCTATCCCACCTCCTCCTCTCCTCCTATCCCACCTCCTCCTCTCCTCTATCCCACCTCCTCCTCTCCTCCCTATCCCCTCCCCTCCTCTCCCTATCCCACCTCCTCTTCCTCCTCCTGCTCCTATCCTACCTACTCCTCCTCCAAGCCCCACCACCACCTCCCTCTTCCTCCAAGCCCCACCACCACCACCACCTCCTCGTCCTCCAAGCCCCACCACCACCTCCTCCTCCTCCAAACCCCACCACCACCTCCTCCTCCTCCAAACCCACCACCACTTCCTCTTCCTCCTCCTCCAAGCCCACCTCCTCCTCCCCTCCTCCCTCCTCTTCTTATCCTCCTCCTCCTCCTCCTCTTCTTATCCCTCATACTCCTCTTCCTGGCTGGAGGGTTTTATACACCAGGGAGAGTTATTGTAACGGTTGGGCGGTGCAGTTATACGAGGATGGTTTTATTACGAGGAATATCTGGCAGAGTTATGTCGTCTTCAGGTAGAGTTTCATTGTTACGGTAAATTTTATCTCGTTCCTTTTTTGTCATTTTAAAGACTATTAACCCCTTCACTACGGGGACGTCACTTTTAATATTTTATTTAGTTAACGTCAGATGATTTTGCTTAACAGAGAGGTGACCCCGTACAGTGGTTCGTAGTCTATCTCCAATAACAAGGAAATGTTAAGTGATGTTTGAAGAAGAAATCCACCAAAAAAAATTTTAATGAAAATGTTTTTAACGTTGTAGGATAAAACCTCTGGCATAAAATTAATATTTTTTAATAATGAAAAGCAAATGGTTGGTGCTGACACGAACGACAAAAATGACTAGAAAAAGAAAAATTTTGTATTTAAAGAGAAATACACATCATGAAAATATTAACATTGACTCTTTATTTTTAATTTCCGATAAAAAACAGATAGCGAGGCACTTTTATGAACACACACACACACACACACACACACATTTATTTTTCATTGTTGTTTATGTTTTCTTGACACAGATGGAAAGTCCAGTAAACTAATGTCATGATTATTGAGCACTTAGTTGGGTTAGGTTGAACAAGGCTAGGATGGGCTGAGTGGGCTGGGCTAAACTAGGGGTTTGACTTGGGTGGACTGGGCTAGGATGGGCTGGATGGGCTGGGCTAAACTAGGGGTTTGACTAGGGTGGACTGAACTAGGATGGGCTCTGCTGGGTGCATGGAGGGGGCTCATTAGAGTTAGATTGAGAATATAGCTTTGAGGAGGCCTGCACATATACCTGGCCATTCTGATTGACCAAGTGCTGTATGTAGGCATAGAACAGTGGACACGCACAATCAGACAAGGACACCCACAGTAGACAAGGACACTCTATAAGTGACAAGGACACCCACAAGTAGACAAGGACACTCATAAGTGAGCAAGGACACTCATAAGTAGACAAGGACACTCATAAATGACAAGGACACCACAAGTAGACAAGGACACCCACAAGTGAACAAGGACACTCCATAAGTAGACAAGGACACTCATAAGTAGACAAGGACACTCATAAGTAGACAAGGACACTCATAAGTAGACAAGGACACTCACAAGTGAACAAGGACACCCCTAGAAGTGAACAAGGACATCACAAGTGAACAGGACACCCAAGTAGACAAGGACACTCATAGTAGACAAGGACACTCCAAGTAGACAAGGACACTCACAAGTAGACAAGGACACTCATAGTAGACAAGGACACTCCTAAGTAGACAAGGACACCCACAAGTGAACAAGGACACTCCATAAGTGACAAGGACACTCACAAGTAGACAAGGACACTCCTAGTAGACAAGGACACTCCTAAGTGGACAAGGACACTCACAAGTAGACAAGGACACTCACAGTAGACAAGGACACTCACAAGTGGACAAGGACACTCACAAGTAGACAAGGACACCCTAAGTAGACAAGGACACTCATAAGTAGACAAGGACACTCATAAGTAGACAAGGACACTCATAAGTAGACAAGGACACTCCAAGTGAACAGGACACTCACAAGTAGACAAGGACACTCCAAGTAGACAAGGACACTCACAGAAGTAGACAAGGACACTCACAAGTAGACAAGGACACTCATAAGTAGACAAGGACACTCACAAGTAGACAAGGACACTCACAAGTAGACAAGGACACTCCACAAGTAGACAAGGACACTTACAAGTGGACAAGGACACTCACAAGTGAACAAGGACACTCATAGTGAGCAGGACACTCACAAGTAGACAAGGACACTCACAAGTGAACAAAGACACTCACAAGTAGACAGGACACTCACAAGAGTAGACAAGGACACTCCAAGTAGACAAGGACACTCCACAGTAGACAAGGACACTCACAAGTAGGCAAGGACACTCATAAGTAGACAAGGACACTCACAAGTAGACAAGGACACTCACAAGTAGACAAGGACACTCATAAGTAGACAAGGACACTCATAAGTGGACAAGGACACTCACAAGTAGACAAAGACACTCACAAGTAGACAAGGACACTCCACAAGTGACAAGGAACTCACAAGTAGACAAGGACACTCACAAGTGAACAGGACACTCCAAGTCAGGACACTCACAAGTAGAAGGACACTCCAAGTAGACAAGGACACTCACAAGTAGGCAAGGACACTCTCAAGTAGACAAGGACACTCACAAGTAGACAAGGACACTCCAAGTAGGCAAGGACACTCACAAGTAGACAAGGACACTCCTAGTAGACAAGGACACTCATAAGTGAACAAGGACACTCATAAATAGACAAGGACACTCCAAGTAGACAAGGACACTCACAAGTGGACAAGGACACTCACAAGTAGACAAGGACACTCACAAGTGACAAGGACACCCATAAGTGACAAGGACTCCAAGTAGACAAGGACACTCACAAGTAGACAAGGACACTCACAAGTGAACCAAGGACACTCACAAGTAGACAAGGACACTCAAGTAGACAAGGACACTCACAAGTGAACAAGGACACTCATAAGTAGGCAGGACACTCACAAGTAGACAAGGACACTCTGAAGTAGACAAAGACACTCCCAAGTAGACAAGGACACTCACAAGTAAACAAGGACACTCACAAGTAGACAAGGACACTCACAAGTAAGGCAAGGACACTCTGTGAACAAGGACACTCACAAGTAGACAAGGACACTCACAAGTAGACAAGGACACTCCAAGGAACAAGACACTCCTAAGTGAACAAGGACACTCATAAGTGGACAAGGACACTCACAAGTAGACAAAGACACTCACAAGTAGACAAGGACACTCACAAGTAGACAAGGACACTCACAAGTAGACAGGACACTCATAAGTAGACAAGGACACTCACAAGTGAGCAGGACACCCCACAAGTAGGACAAGGACACTCCAAGTAGACAAGGACACTCCTTAAGTAGGCAGGACACTCCAAAGTAGACAAGGACACTCACAAGTAGACAAGGACACTCACAAGTGAAAGGACACTCACTAAGTAGACAAGGACACTCACAAGTAGACAGGACACTCACAAGTGAACAGGACACTCATAAGTGAGCAAGGACACTCACAAGTGAACAAGGACACTCACAAGTAGACAAGGACACTCACAAGTAGACAAGGACACTCCTACAGTAGACAAGGACACTCACAGTAGACAAGGACACTCACAAGTAGACAAGGACACTCACAAGTAAACAAGGACACTCACAAGTGACAAGGACACTCCAAGAAGACAAGGACACTCATAAGTAGAGCAGGACACTCGCAAGTAGACAAGGACACTCACAAGTAGACAAGGACACTCACAAGTGGCAAGGACACTCAAGTAGACAAGGACACTCGCAAGTAGACAAGGACACTCATAAGTAGACAAGGACCTCATAAAGTGAACAAGGACACTCCTTAAGTAGACAAGGACACTCCTAAGTAGACAAGGACACTCCTAAGTAGACAAGGACACTCATAAGTAGACAGGACACTCCACAAGTGACAAGGACACTCACAAGTAGACAAGGACACTCATAAGTGAACAAGGACACTCACAAGTAGACAAAGACACTCACAAGTAGACAAGGACACTCACAAGTAGACAAGGACACTCACAAGTAGACAAGGACTCCAAGTAGACAAGCGACACTCATAAGTAGGCAAGGACACTCACAAGTGAACAAGGACACTCACAAGTAGACAAGGACACTCATAAGTGAGCAGGACACTCGCAAGTAGACAGGACACTCAAGTAGACAAGGACACTCATAAGTGAACAAGGACACTCATAAGTAGACAAGGACACTCATAAGTAGACAAGGACACTCATAAGTAGACAAGGACACTCATAAGTAGACAAGGACACTCATAAGTAGACAAGGACACTCACAAGTAGACAAGGACACTCACAAGTAGACAAGGACACTCACAAGTAGACAAGGACACTCATAAGTAGACAAGGACACTCATAAGTGA